TGGGCTTCTTTACCAGAATCAAGTTGGCGACCCAGCTCGGGTAGAGTGCTTCTCGGATGGACCCATTATGAATGAGGTTATCTACCTTGATTTTCAAGGCAGCATACCGCTCTGGATCCATCACTCTTCTTTTTTGGCGGACCAGCTTAGCTTTACTATCGATATTCAAGGCATGGAAAATGATATCCGAGTTGATCCTGACCATATCGGCATGCATCCATGCAAACACATCAATACTTTCTCTGAGGAAGCTGATCAAGTCGTTACCGAGCTGGGGGTTGAGATTGCTTCCAATCCTCAACACTCAGCTGGACTCGTTCTGGTCGATTGACACTTCCGTTAGATCCTCAACTGGTCTACTGGCAAGGCATTCCTAGATACGAGGATCCATATTATCCTCGGCTAGGCCAAGCTGTGGTTCGATCCGACTGATCGTCATTGCCTATTTGGGAATGCCACGAGAGATGTCATTCCCCTTGTACACCATCTGCACTGCCTTTACATAGCAGTCGTGAGATGTGTGCTGAGACCTACTTACTTCCCCTATCCCCGTCGAGCTTCATCTTGAAATGGTAGATTGAAGTGACTGCTTTGAAGTTCCTCAGTAGAGGTCGCCCTAGAATGCCATTGAAAGCGGACGGGCAATCCACTACTAAGAATTCAATTATTTTGGTCACCTTGTCAAAGTCACCCAGCGTGACTGGAAGTGAGATCGTTCCTTTGGGGATTAGATGATCCCCTGTAAAACCATATAGGGGGATTGAGGCGGGCTTCAGGTTGGCCTTATCCAATTTCATTCTCTCAAAAGCTAGCTAGAATAGGATGTTCACAACGCTTCCGTTGTCCACCAGCATTCTGTGGACGTCAAAGCGCCCTAGTTGGGGCGTGATGACGAGAGCATCATCATAGGAATGATGCAATCAGACTGCGTCTTTCTTGGAGAAGGTGATTTCCTCCTCCCTACGAACCTTTGGTGGTCGTTGCTTCGTGTACATTACACGGATAGGGCCGTGATGGGCTACACGAGCATATCTTTCTTAGACACCTCGCTAGTTTCCTCCAAGGTGTGGTCCTCCAAAGATTATCCCCACGCTACAGATACCCTTGCGATCAGGATACTTCTTACTCAGTTCCTCTCGATTTTTCTCCCTTACGGGAGCAGAGTCATCAACATACTCTTTGAAGTGCCCCTGCTTGATAAGATATTTGATTGCCTACTTGAGAGCTTGGCATTCATCGGTGTGATGCCCATTGTCCCAATGATAACGACAATATTTTTTTGCTATTTCTAGATGAGGAGGGACCTTTCATGGGCTCAGGCTCTCCGAGCAGACCAGCCTCTTCTAACTTATCAAGAATGGCCTAAACAGATGCATTCAAAGGGGTATACTGATTCCTGTCGCGATTGCAATGAGGAATTGGAGCATAAGAATTCTTAGGCTCGAACTGTGGTTTCTTTCCTTTTCGTTGATCGTCATTAGCCCATTTGTGATCCACTCTCCTATTTTCCCCCCGACCTAGTGCATTGCAACCGCCATGGAGTTCTCAATACGGAGGTATTTCTTCGTAAGGTTGTAAAAGTAGGTAAGAGAAACATCGTCCTTTGATTGTAACTCCTTCCACAGATATGTCTGTGGATGAACTCCTGCTATGATGAGAGTCCAAACGGAATCTTCGGGAGTGTGAGCTACTTTATGGAGCTCTCTGTGGAACTTATCGATGTAAGATTGGAGGGATTCATCCGTCTCTTGCCTTATGTTGCTGAGGTAGCTCAAAGGCATTAAGAACTTCCTGTTTGCTTGGAAGTGTCTCAAGAATGTCGAGCTCATCTGATTCCACGAGCTAATTGATCCCGCCGGGAGTGACCTGAACCATCGCTTGGCATGAGATGTAAGAGTTACTGCCAAGCATCGGCATTTTGCCAAATCAGAAACTTGGTGAAGTTCCATCAAGTCATTGAATTCGTATAAATGATCCTACGGATCAGAATTTACATCGAATGCCCGCAAATCGGGCATTCTGAATCTAGACGGGAGAAGGACGGCTAACACAGCTAGAGAAAATGGAGATGCCTCTGTGACCTGCCCTCGCTCATTTTGCTAAGCTTTTAGCCGATCCAGAGCTCATTGTAGCTCCTCAATTTGAGACAGCGGAGCCATCTAGGGATTGTTTTCCCCCGTACGGGTTCGACCCTCGCGATTGCGATTGAGAAAAGTCCGGAGGTTAGATTCCTCCTCACCTCAGCCGGTAGTTCCGGCCGCTCTCAACACACGCTGACTAGAGTCGTGTAATGGCGATGAATGGTCCGGGGAACCTTCCCGACCTCCGTGGTGGCGCGAACCAACCCGCGGATGGTAAGACTTCCCGCGCGACGATGATCAAGGTTGTCATTTTGGCGGTAGTGGGAATCTCCCCACCTAACACTTTTGTGGAAGTGCTTGCGCGATGTGGCATGGGACAGCTCGGGATGTGACCTATCACCGAGTCTTTGTGCCATGGGTATTCTACTCAGGGTGCGATCGGTGTTCACTGGTCCCTCGGAGCCTTTAGGCCCATTGTTCGCCACCTGCTTTCCCTTCCTTTGACGCGCTACAGTGCACGTAGCACGGGTTATCGCCCTTTTCCGCACTTTCATGCGACTTGCAAGCGTTTTAGGCGGTGGCACTGCCTCATTTGATTCGGGTGGTGCAACCCAATCTAAACGGTCCAACCTTTGGTTGACTGTTTGGAGAGTATTGTTGAACCTCTCCAAGTAGCTCATGACGACTGGGTTAAACAGTGAGCTCGAAGGAATATCCTCCAAGAGATTTTGTGGAACTAGGGGCACTTTAGAAGAAGTGTCCTCTTGCACCTGGGGGATTTCTCTCTCACCATGGTTGGTTCGTTCAGATTCGAATCTACGAGCCATTTGCTGTTGTAGGATTGACTAGTTAGAGATTCTTCTGATGAAGGACGAATTCTAAATCAAGCCCTCCTTCTATCGCCAAACTATTGATGCATGATTTTGATACCAACTAAACGCACATGTGAAATGCTGAACTGACTCAGAAAACACACGCAAATGGGGGTATGAGAATGGATAAGAGATGGGGAATGATGTTTAAAGTGGTTCAGATGCTTAAACAAGCAACTCCTACGTCCACTGATATTTTATTAATATACTGAAGTCAGGTTGCGTTCAACGAGCTGATTTACAGGAGATTACAAAAGAGAGTGAGAGAATATATGTAATAACAAAGAGAAATTAGCTAATCCCACAAACGGGAGATGAGCCCTCTATTTATAGTGGGATGGATTGAGGTAATGATTACTAAATCAGGAAGTGGGTCAGATTGCTGTCCAAATCCTTCCTTGCGCTCCGTTATTCACCTGCCCGAGTGATTTACTCGATCCTTGCAGGGATTGGACACGTGGATTACCTCCAGCCTTTCACTAGCCTGACGCACACCTACTGCACTGGCAGGAGCACGCCTCTTACGTCAGTGTGTGACGTGACTGTATTCGAACGCCTCCTGGACTTACCTAAGCTCTGACCACTTGCGCTGACAGGGCTCTGCGTCAGCCCTATTTTTCCAGGCATAATAGAGGTTTTTCATAATGACCCTCCCAACGTAGATGATATTTGCCTTTTTTGGTCCGCACTTGACCAATCTTGGTTATTATTTTAAGATGCTGGGGAAGATGAAGGTGATGATTTTTTTTTTTTTTTTTTTTTTTTAAAGGATTCTATTATTGTAGGTCCAAAGAGCAGTTAGAATTTTGGGGGTCATCGAGATGCAAGATGGGGTACTGAAGAGTTGTATAAATGGTGTGGAGTTATTGATATTCTCTTCTAAAAGTTTTCATGCAAATTCCTCTGGTGAGTTTAATGAATTTATAACTAAGAAAGATATCAATCGCATTTCTTCAATGCTTGAGTACTCATGAGGTATGACATATTCAAATAACTTTGGCTGATATTTCAGTTGTGGAAATTCTATCGTATTGTTATCTATGGTTTATTTTGTGTTTCTATCACTCTTCTGAAGCTCGAACCATGATCGGTCCCGGTTCGAGCGGTTGAACTGGTGGGCTAAACTGTTGACATGATCATGTTGATGTCAGCGTAACAGAAAATCCAAAAAAGTTAACGTCATTAATTCTCCTAAGGTATGATATAATAACAAAAATCCTTCAAAGATTTTCAAAATAACAGAAATTTTCATATCACTAAGTTATAGGTGCTAAAATAAACCGTAGGAGGCAATTTGATAATATTTACTAAATTTATAACAATATAAATTTTAATGACTTATTATTAGTCTACTGATGATAAAAATATTTTTGTTATTATATCATATCTTAGGGGACTGATGTCTATTAACTCAATTGAAAATTACCATAATAGACGAATTACTTTTAATACAATAAGATTGATTTACAGATATTTTTCACAATTACAAAATCTGAAGTCTAACAAATTTTTTTTTTTTTTTTTCCGAAAGGATAACTGTGGAAGATAGTTAACAATTAAAATGAATGAAGGAAAAAAAACAAAGAATTAAAAATTATGAACTAAAAATTTTAATTGATGAGAGTCATTTGTTAGCATAAAAATACTTTAGAATTTTAGTTTTATACATATTTGTTTAGATATGTCCATAACTATGAAACGATCGAAAGATTAACCAAAATTGGTATGGTAGAGAAACAAAGGAGAAAGAGAAATACGGAATGAGAGTAACATATAGAATATAGATCATTTGACTTTATACGGTTGAATCTAAGAAAAAGAAGGGCTGATTTGAATAAATTGAGACTTAATTTAAAGTAATTTTTTAATAAAATTTATTTCAATTGGGGCTTATAAAGAGTTTTAGTTGGGCTCAAATAACACTATTGTTTTTTTTTTTTTTTTTTTGCTTTAATTTTATTGTCTTATGTTTCTCAAGCTCTGTTTTAAAAGCCGGACCAGACTGGCCTGTCTAACCGGTTCAACCGAGACTCGGTTGTGTGTCTGGTCCGAACTAATATAAAACCGGCAATTACTTAAAAACCGTTTAAACCCATTATCAAACCGGATGAACAGTGCGACCCGCTTGGTAAACCAGGTCAATGTTTAAAATGAAAAAAACCCTAAATCTGATTTATTTTTCATGCGACTTCACTTCTCCACTCTTTTCAATCTCTCAACTCTCCAAAATCGCAACTCTCTTCTCAAATAACTGTACTCAGTCTCAATTCAATCTCTCAACTCCACTCTCCCTTGGACCCTTGCTCGACGACAGCAACACCTCCCTCACTGAATTTCGACGATAACGCACTTCCTTTCTCCCTTGCTCGACGACAGCAACACCTCCCTCACTAGATTTCGGTGACGACGCACCTCCCTTCTCCCTTGCTCGACGACAGCAGCACCTCCCTCGCTAGATTTCGGTAGCGATACACCTCCCTTCTCCTCCCTTTTCCCTTGCTCGACGAAGGCAACATCTCACTCGTTGGATTTCAGCGACGACGCACCTCCCTTCTCCTTGCACGACGACGCCTCCCTCCTTCACTAGAATCGACGACGACGACAACACTTCTCTTGCTCAAAATCAATGAAGACAACACCTCTCTCTTTTGTAAAGATATTTCCACTCTTTTTTTTTTATGAATCTATTGCTTTGATGGATAATTTGTTCACTGAATTTGTATGTAAAAAGCACTTGCAGTTTTGTTATTAATTATTATGTATTTTATCATTTATTTTGTAATGGATGATGTTTGGAGACTTAATTTGTAATGGATGATGTTTGGGGACTTTGGATTGCAATTAAATCGGGATTGTTATTGAGTTTGAATTGGGTAGTAATTAAGCTGGTATTCTGAAATTTTCAAAAAAAAAAAAAAAAAAAAAGATATTTTGTTTTGCCTATGTTAACATCACTGGTCCAACCGGCCGGTCTAACCGGTTGACCCATGACCCGGGCAATGAAGCAAGTTGCCCTTCGGTCCGGGTTTTAAAACAATGTTCTCAAGTCCATAAACTAAATTTATCCAATCTATATCCTTCAAAAAAGAAAAGTTTACCTGCACTAGCATTTACACAAATAGTCAACAGCATGATCCAGTTTTCCTGAGAACAAAACTCGTATAATAATGACACAAAAATTAGCAATTATAACTATGCCAGAAACAGTGAGTAACTCGTTTCTATAATTATGAAAGTCTCCACCTAATTTTATGTATTTGCAGCTGAACCCTATGAGTTCAAGAAAACGCACCATGACAACAAAATTTGTGGAACAAAGAGCACAACATCATATAATTTGGACTCAAGCTGATCCCAGGAAATGTAAGAAAAGTTTACCAGGGATATGAAATGATGCTTTTGGCTTAAATAAAAGACGTCAAAGACAACCACCAGATAGAACATATAAGTTATTGGCCTTACTCATTAAATGCGGTGATCTTTTGACATCAACAATATCTCATGCTGGTCTCTTTCTGATTTGTACAAGGTGTATGCTCCATGATTAGGCCCGGCTAAGCAACTAGTAAATGTGTGGCTGAGCCAGAGAACTGCATTTTGTACAGCATGAATGAGTACATATAGGTTTTATAACATTTAACAAACAGATTTAGAAAGTAATAGTATAACAAGAACATAAATGAATTATGCCAAAAAAGCAGACTCAACAAGCACTCGCATCGACCATACTGCTGGAACAGAACTCTGTACTACTAACTTTATTATTTGATCTAGTCAACTTTTTTTTTTTTTAAAAAGGTCGGAATTCAATAAATGGATCCAGAAACATATCGACGTGATAGAGAAGTAAGTTGTCTAAGGCACCCTGCATATATCTATATTATTCTAAAATAAGATCAAAACATTTTTTTGGGGGTTTCGCAGAATAACCACTTGTACCTTAATATGAAGATGAAGATTGAAAATCAAATTGCCAAAAACCACTTGTACCTTAATATGAAGATGAAGATTGAAAATCAAATTGCCAAAAACCACTTTAATACTTATGCTGATCAATAGTTAAGTTTATTCTGAGAACTATATTTCTCGGTGAAAAGAAGTATTTGTTAGTTACAGCTCAAGTATATTACCCAACAACAATACCTTATCACTTCTGATTGGAGCTTTCCACCAAATTTGAAGATAACTTTTTTAAGATCACATCATGAGTTGCCTTAATGCTCTTTTACAAACTTCAAGGGAAAATAATGGCCATCTATCAATTCATTGTTCACCTCCGAGGAATATTGTCGAACTGCAGTTCCAGCATTATAAGTCTGGTCATGACCTTCAGACGTCCAGACACCAGGAGGAGCAACTGCTTTCTCATTTTTCACATTATGTGGAAGGCTCCCAATGGATGAATTTCATTGGCACTTCAACTAAATCTAAAGATATCTTTTCTAAGCTCAGATCATTAAGTTTTTCTAGCAGCCTTTTCAGAAAAACTTTGAGGAACATATAGCCCATCAAGACTTTTATTTTTCACCTCTGAAGAATTCTGTTCATCAAGAACTGTAGCTCCAACATTAGAAGATTGCGTAATCTTGGGATGTCCTGACATAAATAAATAATACTGGAATTAATTGAGAAAAGTTGGTAACACTCGATGTGAGATAACAAAATAGAATAGAAATGTGTTTTACAACACTTGATTACAAATGCTAAACTTGGAAATAAAACAGAAATGGAAATGGACTCTAAGCACTGCTGAACTTCGAGGGTCAGCTCCTCCTAATTCACTTCACTAATTCTCCATGCTCCATCACGCCTAATGTTCCCCTTTTATATTTGCTTCCAGATTCCTTTTGCAACAAATCCAGACACCCGTCGTTTTCTCGTTGTGCCAACCAGCTGACTCCTAACAAATTCATAACCAATTCCTCACACTTGTCACCCTTTCATTGTGCAAGCCTCATAACCAATGGCCTCACTCTTTCCTTGCTGCCATCTGTCCCCAGTTGGTTGTGCGAATTTGCCACCTGTCCAGTCTTGCCTTTTCCCTTGTGCTTGGTTCTGACAAACCACAAACCATTTGGTTACCGGAGGTCCATCAGTGAGCCAAATTGATTTTTTCTTATGCTTGAATAAAGATTCCACCAATCTTCAAGAACGGATGAAAGTACTCAGTGGCACCAAATAAGAAGACATTACTGACTTCCAAATGGCTTCAAGATCAGGACGATTTGAAGGATACTTCTCAAAATGAAGGAGATCATATGATGGTGGCCTTTGTTGGATATCGGAGATTCTGGATTTAGAATCAGAGTAGAATTTGTCATCTGAGCCAAAATATATTTAGAATTAGAGCAACTGTATTAGCATCACTGCAGAATTATCAACTGAACAAACCTATATTTAGAATAGTGCCACAAGGTTCAGATCAAATGAGATATAATGACCACATTGTGCAGCAATGTCATCAGTTTTTAATCAAAAGAAGGATTCAAGATGATCGAACAAGTAGGTAATCACTTTCAATCTCCTTGGTTTTCCAATTTTACAAGGTTATTGATAAATTTTACTTCAATTTTTTCCTAAGCGTGAATGGACAAAATTAATCAGCAATAAGGTAATGGTAGCAGTTCTAAATACTACAAATTTGCTGCATAATTTTTTCATGAAGTCAAGGAGGAAAACGAGAAATGAAAGTGGTTTCCTGCCTGATATGATAACAAATTGAGGTGCAAAAGTCACTCTTTTGTCTGTCTTCCTAGCCTTCGTTTGGGGGAATCTAGCTTCTTCCTGTACAACAAGAGGATTACTTGGCTTCTTTCACCAACATGTTCAGAACCTGCATGAACTTCACAACTGAAATTAAATATAATCACTGTACTAAGCCAGTAAATAGTCAAAATTTAATATGCATTGGTATATATGAAATAACTGAAGTTGCCTTCTTTGACTCAAAAATGAGAATCTTAATATTAGATAAAGATCCAACCCTGCTCATAAAACAATTTAAACAACTTAAGTAGACATCACATGTCCACCAGAAAGTGAACAGCAGTAAATGGTTCTAATAACGAGAAATCACATATCTTGCACATATTTGGGGCCAACTAGCGTACAGTGGGCATCTCATGCCACAACAAGAGGAACTGGTTGCAAAGGTGCAGCAGAAGTAACTTCAACGGTAGTGACTTCGGTGATGAGCAGCTACAATTCCAAAAGAGGCTTTTCTTCTTGTACAATGACACAACAAATGAAATCTATAAAAAGTTAGAGTGAAAAGGAATCAAGAAAGATCAGAGTTAAAAAAGCTAATGTGTATTGGTTCTAGCAACGAAGATGATCATCAATCCAATGCTTAGTTATTCTATTCTCCCAAACAGTAACTTCAGGTTTTTTTTTTTTTTTTTTTTTTTTTCATTTAAGGCCAAATTGTGTCAAATTGATATATTCATTTGAATTCCAAAGGGGAGAATTAAAAGATATCCCAAGTTAATTAAGGGGAATTACACTACTTTTGCCCATAAGTACATCAAACACACCCATGTTGTGTCAACCTTAGAGGTTGATTCTATGTTTATATCCTTCTCTCTTCTTCCCTAGAAACAACTATTTGAATTCACCTTTTAAGGAAATAAATAAAAATTCTACCTCAAAAGACATCAAGTTTGGAAGTGGCAGGATGTTCAATGGTCCCATTTCATTCTAAAACTCCAGATTTCTATGCTGCAGGTAGCTTTTAAAGTGAACCAAGAAAAAAGGACTTTGAGGAAGCTTAAAATACAGAGTCAGAAAGCATGCTAGTTAATCTATCGACCAACTCATTAAGTCATATCAGGATTAGAATGGAACACTAATTGTGCAGGTAGGTGAGTGGGGCATCCTATATTGACATGCTTAGAGTTTGGAGTATAAAATTGATTGCAAACACCAATTTCAGTTTTAATTTTTCAATTAAAAACCATACATTACTTTTAGAATCAACTTTTAGGATAAAAAAATTGAACTTTACTTACTTTTAGAATCAACTTTTAGGGTAAAAAAATTGAACTTTACTTTCAAACTATTTTTCATTCTTCGAAAAGTTTATCAAAAATGCTAGTTGCTGACAATAATATTATAGCATCTTTGTTTGTACCCAGAATGTATACAGTAAAGGATCCATGTTCATATTGATGTTATTGAAATGATTTAAATTTATACATCTCTTGTCTCTAATATCTTATGCTTTGGCATTCAAATTTTAAATTAATTTCACTATTGTCTCCTACAAATGTTTTGAAAACTGCAACAGTTCCTGATGGAATTATTTACTTAAATGTTTACAACTGACATTCTATAAATGCTCAACCTTAGAAAGTTTTGAATTTCAAACATAACCCCAAAATTTCATTACCTGAAAGATAACAACTCTGAGGAAAAGAAAACCCCAAAATATTCCAATAATAGGAAAAAATTCTGGGGCTAAATAACAACATTTTATCATGAACAACACAGAATTTCCTAGACCAAAAGAAACATTTAAGCATAATTTCACAGCACAAAAAGGACAATCAACAGTTTTAATTTTGTAATTTCTTGCCTGAAAGCTTCTTTCCCTTTTTCCTTGTATTGCCCTTTCGCCGAGAAGTACATGAATGGACTCTTGGCTGTCCGCCTGTCATTAAAGAAGGCGAAAACAGTGCTTGAAGAGTTGGTTCTTCCTCAATTACCACACTTTTCTTGTTTTCAATAGGCAATTCCACAACTAAGTGATTGCTAAGGCAACATTCTTGACAAAACCAAATTTCTGGAGCTACCAAACTGTTGTGGCGCATGCAATACCTGATAAAAGAAATTTTCAAAATTTTATTTTAATTTGATTACGCAAAGATTGAAAAAATAACAAGAACACTTCACTAATCTTTCAAACATACATATGTTGGCACGCAACTTTGCACTGATCACACGTCACTTTACACTCTTCAAAACCTCCATCACCACATATTTCACAGAGTTCGCCCTGCAATTAAACAAATCATCAAATAATTACTCCAACAAATAATTTTCACATCCTCATCAAAACAATCAATAAAATAAAAATAACAGTAGCAAATAATGTACCATCACGGCACATGCAAACTTGAACAGTAAAAATTACACGTCCTAAAATCCAGAAGACTCAGAAAAAATCTTTAAATGTGCAGCAGATTAAGAAAATTTTAGCGAAAATGGAAAATGCATGAACGGCAGCTTTGTTAATTGTTATTGAACAGAAATAGAAAGATAGTAAAGACATTAAAGATTTACGAATGCAATGGAAGATTATGAATGAGAATGGTAAATTAATTTTAATTACCACTGCAACTGGAACATGAAGTTTAGTCATCGTCAGGCGTGATTCTATGGATGAGAGTTGAGACTGGTTTCTTTGCTTTATCGACTTCTTCATATCTTCTTTAGGAAGTTACGGCGCGGCTATTAAAACACTATTTCAACTCTTAAAAAAACACAAAAGTAGGCTTATAGATAAGTTTACACCGTTTAAGCTTATACTCTTAAGCAAATGATTATTTAATAAAGAGTTTTAAATTTTATAGTTATTTAATTAATTACAAACTTAAAATGATATTTTAATTAAGACTTCGTTGGGTTCATTATGCTGATACTTTTTGAAATAATAGTTTGAAAAAAAATAAAATTGGATGGGTATTACGATGTAGGATTTGGAGATTAACAAAAATATCCTCCTATGTTTGTTTATTTACTAAACACGTATATAATAAAATATTAAAAATTAACAAAAACACCTCTAACCCACCGATTAAATACGAACAACCAGTCACCACCGCCGGAGGGTGACCGGAGTCGTCGTATTGGTGCACGACCGACTGGATCTGGTAGGTCGTGTCCCAATATGGCCTTTTTCGGCCAGATCCACGGTGGATCTGGCCAGAAAATGTCACATCTATGGCTAGATCTGGCCATTGACGATCAGATCTTGTTCCATTTGGTCGTCAAGATACGGCCGTCGTTGACGATTGGCTACGGCCAAAGATCTGACTGTTGACGGCCAGATCTTGCCGCATTTGGTCATCAACGACAGCCAAAGATATGACCATCGTTGACGACTGGCTACAACCAAAGATCTGGCTGTTGACGGCCAGATCTTTGGTCGTAGATCTGGCCTTTTTCGGGTAGATCCATTGTGATCTGGCCAAAAAAGGCTAGATCGGCGCACTACCGATCAGATTCAGTTGATAGTGCCCCATTGTATCAGATTCTGACCAGCTTCCAGTGATGGTGGCCGGAATCTGGTAAATGTGGGTTGCTGGGGTGTTTTTGTCAATTTTTTAAAATAAAAAAATTGGGGGTGTTTAGTTAAATTAACAAATTTAGAGGATTTAAATGTCAGTGTATATTAGTGTATGCCCTAGAAACCATTCGTGTTGTCGGTTTCAGAGCATTTTGTCTTGTATCTATATATATCATAAATAATAGAAGAAAGAGTTCTTCAATTCATATATGNGTATTTTTTATGCTCAAGTATTTGGGAAGAAGCTTTTGTATTGGCTACCATTTGAGGTGGCATTCCTAAATTATTGTTCTTACAAGTTTATTTGGATTAGTTAAAATTGTGAAATTTCTTGATTTCATTTATTGCAAAAGATATTGTGTTAGATTATCAACAGAAGGTGACGAGGTCAATTGATAATCTTAAAAGAGATTATTACAAAGCTCCATTGTTCATGGTAAGTTTTTCTACTGTCTTTAGTGTAGTTGCTAATGATGGTTTACGTGGATTTTTTTATTTATTTTTCTCAAAATGAGCCGTGAATGCCATGCTACCCTAGAATTTAACTATTTTGTCTTGCTAATTTTTTGAATTGATTATGTTAGCTAGGTTCGTGTTTTCGTTGTTTTTTTATTTCTACTGGTGTGTTTTTTAGTATGTTTTTAACAATCTTTTCGATAAATAGTTTATATGCATATAGTTCATTTCCAAAGAGTTAAGGCCACTCGAACTTAGCAAAGAAGTTAAGTGCATGACGCTTAGCTCTTATGTATATTAAGAGACATCTTCTTACAGGTTATAATTTCAAAGGCTTAACCCTTCAGTTAATTTATAACAGAAAAGGGGTTCCACGGTGGAATCCTATAAATGGGTTGGATATGAGAGGTTTGAATCAACTCCAAAAATTATATCAGACTAGGTAAACAATTTTTTACTTGTGGTAATAATTAACCAGATCGACCAGGAAATGTTTGTATTTTTCAAGAATACAGATTGAATCATTTATTAACAACATTCTATTAGGAACAAAGATTGAATCACTTTATTAATGACAACCGAATTCAAATTATTAACAGGTTTCCCAACTAAAACCCATTTATAGTATTCTACTTATCAAATCCATAGAAAGGTATACTTGGATATATATCCAGATGCAAGGTAGGTAGAATAACAGAAACGATGAGATAATGAGTGAGCCAAATTGATTTTTTCTTATGCTTGAATAAAGATTCCACCAATCTTCAAGAACGGATGAAAGTACTCAGTGGCACCAATAAGAAGACATTACTGACTTCCAAATGGCTTCAAGATCGGGACGATTTGAAGGATACTTCTCAAAATGAAGGAGATCATATGATGGTGGCCTTTCTTGGATATCAGTGATTCTGGATTTAGCATCAGAGTAGAATTTATCATCTGAGCCAAAATATATTTAGAATTAGAGTAACTGTATTAGCATCACCGCAGAATTATCAACTGAACCAACCTATATTTAGAATAGTGCCACAAGGTTCAGATCAAATGAGATATAATGACCACATTGTGCAGCAATGTCATCAGTTTTTAATCAAAAGAAGGATTCAAGATATTCGAACAAGTAGGTAATCACCTTCAATCTCCTTGGTTTTCCAATTTTACAAGGTTATTGATAAATTTTACTTTAATTTTTTCCTAAGCGTGAATGGACAAAATTAATCAGCAATAAGGTAATGGTAGCAGTTCTAAATACTACAAATTTGCTGCATAATTTTTTCATGAAGTCAAGGAGGAAAACGAGAAATGAAAATGGTTTCCTGCCTGATATGATAACAAATTGAGGTGCAAAAGTCACTCTTTTGTCTGTCTTCCTAGCCTTTGTTTGGGGGAATCTAGCTTCTTGCTGTACAACAAGAGGATTACTTGGCTTCTTTCACCAACATGTTCAGAACCTGCATGAACTTCACAACTGAAATTAAATATAATCACTGTACTAAGCTAGTAAATAGTCAAAATTTAATATGCATTGGTATATATAAAATAACTGAAGTAGCCTTCTTTGACTCAAAAATGAGAATCTTAATATTAGATAAAGATCCAACCCTGCACATAAAACAATTTAAACAACTTAGTAGACATCACATGTCCACCAGAAAGTGAACAGCAGTAAATGGTTCTAATAACGAGAAATCGCATATCTTGCACATATATTTGGGGCCAACTAGCGTACAGTGGGCATCTCATGCCACAACAAGAGGAACTGGTAGCAAAGGTGCAGCAGAAGTAACTTCAACGGTAGTGACTTCGGTGATAAGCGGCTACAATTCCAAAAGAGGCTTTTCTTCTTGTATAATGAAACAACAAATGAAATCTATAAAAAGGTAGAGTGAAAAGGAAACAAGAAAGATAAGAGTTAAAAAAACTAATGTGTATTGGTTCTAGCAACAAATATGATCATCAATCCAATGCTTAGTTATTCTATTCTCCCAAACAGTAACTTCATGTTTTTTTTTTATTTAAGGCCAAATTGTGTCAAATTGATATATTCATTTGAATCCCAAAAGGGAGAATTAAAAGATATCCCAAGTTAATTAAGGGGAATTACACTACTTTTGCCCATAAGTACATCAAACACACCCATGTTGTGTCAACCTTAGAGGTTGATTCTATGTTTATATCCTTCTCTCTTCTTCCCTAGAAACAACTATATGAATTCACCTTTTAAGGAAATAAATAAAATTTCTACCTCAAAAGACATCGAGTTTAGAAGTGGCAGGATGTTCAATGGTCCCATTTCATTCTAAAACTCGAGATTTCTATGCTGCAGGTGGCTTTTAAAGTGAACCAAGAGAAAAGGACTTTGAGGAAGCTTAAAATACAGAGTCAGGAAGCATGCTAGTTAATCTATCGACCAACTCATTAAGTCATATCAGGATTAGAATGGAACACTAATTGTGCAGGTAGGTGAGTGGGGCATCCTACATTGACATGCTTAGAGTTTGGAGTAGAAAATTGATTGCAAACACCAATTTCAGTTTTAATTTTTCAATTAAAAACCATACATTACTTTTAGAATCAACTTTTAGGATAAAAAAATTGAACTTTACTTACTTTTAGAATCAACTTTTAGGGTAAAAAAATTGAACTTTACTTTCAAACTATTTTTCATTCTTCGAAAAGTTTATCAAAAATGCTAGTTGCTGACAATAATGTTATAGCATCTTTGTTTTTACCCAGAATGTATACAGTAAAGGATCCATGTTCATATTCATGTTATTGAAATGATTTAAATTTATACATCTCTTGTCTCTAATATCTTATGCTTTGGCATTCAAATTTTAAATTAATTTCACTATTGTCTCCTACAAATGTTTTGACAACTGCAACAGTTCCTGATGGAATTATTTACTTAAATGTTTACAACTGACATTCTATAAATGCTCAACCTTAGAAAGTTTTGAATTTCAAACATAACCCCAAAATTTCATTACCTGAAAGATAACAACTCTGAGGAAAAGAAAACCCCAAAATATTCCAATAATAGGAAAAAATTCTGGGGCTAAATAACAACATTTTATCATGAACAACACAGAATTTCCTAGACCAAAAGAAACATTTAAGCATAATTTCACAGCACAAAAAGGACAATCAACAGTTTTAATTTTGTAATTTCTTGCCTGAAAGCTTCTTTCCCTTTTTCCTTGTATTGCCCTTTCGCCGAGAAGTACATGAATGGACTCTTGGCTGTCCGCCTGTCATTAAAGAAGGCGAAAACAGTGCTTGAAGAGTTGGTTCTTCCTCAATTACCACACTTTTCTTGTTTTCAATAGGCAATTCCACAACTAAGTGATTGCTAAGGCAACATTCTTGACAAAACCAAATTTCTGGAGCTACCAAACTGTTGTGGCGCATGCAATACCTGATAAAAGAAATTTTCAAAATTTTATTTTAATTTGATTACGCAAAGATTGAAAAAATAACAAGAACACTTCACTAATCTTTCAAACATACATATGTTGGCACGCAACTTTGCACTGATCACACGTCACTTTACACTCTTCAAAACCTCCATCACCACATATTTCACAGAGTTCGCCCTGCAATTAAACAAATCATCAAATAATTACTCCAACAAATAATTTTCACATCCTCATCAATACAATCAATAAAATAAAAATAACAGTAGCAAATAATGTACCATCACGGCACATGCAAACTTGAACAGTAAAAATTACACGTCCTAAAATCCAGAAGACTCAGAAAAAATCTTTAAATGTGCAGCAGATTCAGAAAATTTTAGCGAAAGTGGAAAATGCATGAACGGCAGCTTTGTTAATTGTTATTGAACAGAAATAGAAAGATAGTAAAGACATTAAAGATTTACGAATGCAATGGAAGATTATGAATGAGAATGGTAAATTAATTTTAATTACCACTGCAACTGGAACATGAAGTTTAGTCATCGTCAGGCGTGATTCTATGGATGAGACTTGTTTCTTTGCTTTATCGACTTCTTCATCTTTTCTTTATGAAGTTACGGCGCGGCTATTAAAACACTATTTCAACTCTTAAAAAAACACAAAAGTAGGCTTATAGATAAGTTTACACCGTTTAAGCTTATATTCTTAAGCAAAAGATTATTTAATAAAGAGTTTTAAATTTTATAGTTATTTAATTAATTGCAAACTTAAAATGATGTTTTAATTAAGTCTTCCTTTGGTTCATTATTACGATACTTTTCATGATGTTTTAATTAAGTCTTCCTTTGGTTCATTATTACGATACTTTTCAGAATAGTAGTTTGAAAAAAAAAAAAAAAAATTTGATGGATATTGCAATGTAGGATTTAAAAATTAACAAAAATATTCTCCTATGTTTGTTTATTTACTAAACACCCTAATAATAAAATATTAAAAATTAATAAAAACACCCCCAATTCACCCATTAAATACGAACAGTCGGCCACCATCACCGAAGGGTGGCCGGAGTCATCGTATCAACGCACGACCGACTGGATATGGCCGATCGTGCATCGATATGGCCTTTTTCGACCAAATCTAGCCGCATTTGGTTGTCAATGACGGCCAAAAATATGGCCGTCGTTGATGACTAGCTACGGCCAAAGATCTGGCTATTGACGGCCAGATCTTTGGCCATAGATCTGGCCTTTTTCGACCAAATACATCGTAGATCTGGCCGAAAAAGGCTAGATCAACGCACTACTAACCAGATTCAGCAAGTAGTGCGCCATTATAACAGATTCCGACCAGCTTCCGACGGTGGTAACCGGAATCTGGTAAATGTGGGTTGCTAAGGTGTTTTTGTCAATTTAAAAAAAAAAAAAAATTGGGGGTGTTTAGTTAAATTACAAATTTAGGGGGTTTAAAAGAAATTGAATAATATGAAATAATATTTTGAGAATAAGAGAACCAAAGACCAATTTTCTGTTTAACTTTATTGGGAAAACCAAAATAATATTTTAAAGAGTGTACCAAACGGAGCCTAAATTTCTTGGAATACGCTGACAGTTGGTGATTCGTTATATAGCCAAAAGTGCTATTTTTAAAAATTTTGAAGTAGAAATTGTTTTTTTTTTTTTATTGTAATTATATCCAAAATTTATTAAGGAAAGTTGAATTTACAAACTAGAAGCTATTTTTTTTTTTCTGGGATTCATTTGATGTTATGCAAATTTATAATTTATGAATTAACTATGGATGGTCGAGTGGTTCGATGAAGACTCTTAAGTGTATTACTCAAGAGGTCTTAAGTTTGAATATCTCCTTAGTTGCCAATAGAATGGACACTAGAGCTCTTACCCTGTTGGTGATTCCAGAGTTTAGGGGGATTAGTTGTACACCCTGGTCATCAAAAAAAAAAATATAATTTATGATACATGTTGAGTTATTAGATTTAATAATTATAATACAAAATTTATAATTTACAGAACATTAGGACTAAATATTCATGTATCAGAAAGAGTGATACTAAATAGCCCCTGCTAAATGTCTTTTCAACCCCCATTATTTTATTTTTTTTTAGTCTGGCCAACTATACCTTTACAAATAAAAAAAATTATGCAGAGAGATTGTATTTCTCCCGAACAAAAGTTCAAAAAGTAAATTGAATTTTATTTAAAAGCATTCAAATCTTAGCCCTCACCCATATTTCTTTCAACATTTTTTATAATATTTTCTTCATTTTAAAATGAAATAATATTTTATCAAAATCAATTTTTTCCCACAACACAAATATTTAATCCCATTTTCTACCGTTTATGACAATCCATATAGATTTGTTTTCCTATAAGTTGTATGTTCATCGAATGAGTGACTCTTACAATGGCTTCAATTGTTTTTGATATTACTTATAGAGTTAAAAAGTGATTATATATATACAATTGAGGATAATTTTTGAATTAATGTAGATTTATTTTAAACCCGAGATAATTAGAGAATTAGTGTGGTGCATATAACATTACTCTATCAGAAAACTATTCGAAAATATGAATTTCAGTATATTATAAAATGTTGTAATATAGCATTTTTCACGGGTTAAAATTTTGCAATTTTAAAACAAATTGTATTTAAATTTTCATAATTAATGTGGCATAAGAATTAGTCTATAGGAAACTGTTTTCTCTTTGTAAATATCATATTATATTTATTCTTGTTGTATATAAATACGTGAGTGCTTTTTTCTTGGCACTAAACAATTCACAAATCCCTTTCAAAATGGATGTATATGTAAAATTTTGATGTATAAGGAGATTACTAATTTATATATCAAGTGGTATCTATGTGTGTTTTTTTATTTTTATTTATTATCTTATAAATTTAGCGAATTATTAATTTACCACATTGGTCTTAAGTTGGGATCGACCAAAAATATTATTTAATTGAGGTTAATAATTTATTGAGTATTAATTTATCGAGGTTTAACTGTATTTCTTAGAATAAATTAATCAAAATAATAAATAATAATTTTAATTATCTATTACAAAATTTATAGTCGAAGTTTAATAATTCTACAACAAAAATTATCCAAACAAATCATAAACAAAAGGTATAAAATAATATTGAATTTAATTATAATTTTATAATAAATCCGATTTCAAATAACGTAAAATCATAATTCATAACCTAAACTACTTAATTTGACAATATAAAAGAAATTTTTTAATATAAAATTAATGTTCATATAATTATAAAGTGGAATAAAATAAATGATCAAGTAATTATATTAAATTACTTACCTTATTTTTATATTCACAAGTGAGAAGCTGACAAGAAAACCATTTGAAGTAAGTCAATGGAGGAATAAGGTTGTGGTGGCCAGGGTTTTCTTTTATTTGGAAAAAAAAAAAAAAAGAAAAAAAAAAGAGAGAAGATAAATATAATTTTTTTATAAATAATACTTCTAATCTAATGTTAGATATTATATATAAGCATTTATTTCTAGTTGTATGTTTTTGGGGTGAATGGAGTAGGTTAGGGTCAAAATTTGCATTCTTATTACACGCCCCAAAGTAATTTAGATCAAGATATTCAAACTCAAATCCGACCCACCCAAAATATTTTACTATCCAACTCTGGCCCATTAGGAGCCCCAAATCCATGGATCATTCTGACATCTCTAAGAGTGCGTGTGTTTTGAGTGTTTTATTCGTATTTCAAATAAAATGTATATTATGTGGAACTAAAGACTGAGACACACTCCCATTAACCGCAACAGAAACAAAATAAAGAAAATCAAAGACAGAAGAAACAAGCTGTGATGAAAAAAAAAAACATTACAATAATCTCATAACATAAACAAATCATACGGCACAAAACAATTCTGCAAACGAAAAGTACAAAGATTCACACATGTCAGTTGAAAATAATAAAAAAAAGGTGAGAATCATAAAGAAGAAGAATTAAAAATATTCATACCATGTGGATGTGGGTCTCCATTACCAAGCTTCCGAATCCAAATCCTCCAGAAAGTTATATTTATTTATTTAGCAAGTCTCTGTCTCTCTGATATTGTTGCTGCAAATTTTTAATGTGTTCCTTTAATCAGAGCTACAGATCCAATGCAGATCCTTCAAGAACGAGGGACCTTATTCTGAAACTTAATATATGGTGATTCAGATCTTGAAAGCTTGAATCTTTGCTCTGTTGTCGAGTTCAGCTATGCTGAATCCTAATTCCTAATCTTTTATGGGCTTTTGGAAATTTGCCAGTTTATATGTTTTCTCTTCCTAATTTATTTCAAATTAGTGTTATACTTGATTGAAATGCAATCAACTCTCATTCATACAAAATTTTAGGTACAGAAATTACAAAATCAGAGGAAGCAAAATTCTAGCAATACCAGGAGATTTGTTTTAGAGCACTTCCATTAAGAGTTTCTTTCACATGCTTGGTTCATGAATCAGTATACTTTTTTAAGAAATCAACTTCAATACCACACCGCTCAAAACGTAGTCGAAAATGTCTTAAAAATTAACACCTAGACCGTGTGGCGCTGGCGCCTCGATACAAAACTTGAGTGCACATTTTGCTATGAGACACCCATAATAAGTGACACAGCAGAACTAAATAAGAACATAGGTTCTAAATTTCTCATAAATATGATAAATAGCTGCTTTCTAGATCTAGATGTACAAAACAAAGAGAATTGCACAAGAGAACTTCCACAGGCTAGAAGGAATAAGGAGCTCATCCTTTTTGCCAAGTAGAAGGGAAGAAGAAAAGAACAAAAAACTTAGCTAGAATATGTCTTTAGATAATTAACAACAGAACCACAGGCATACCCACCTATGCACATTGAAATCCAGCTTCAACAATGACAACTCTACCCCACCACCACAACCAACAACCTTACAGCAAACTAGTCCTTGGATTCTTTAACCCCACAAGAGGATTATGCCAGAAACGAAGAGGGTCACGAAGAAAGACAACCAGGCAGAATTTGCGAGTCTCAACCCACCATGACTGTAATCGGTGTTGATGCCTGCTCCGGTGGGGCCTAAACCTGAACCTGAGCCGACTCCTCCTATCATTCCATTTGAAGGTGTCGTGGTGTATGGAGTGGTGGTGGTTGTTGGATTAGTGGTTGAGGGGTTAGTGGTAGTTGGGGTATTTGATGAAACAGGTGTTGTTGGTGTCGTTGGTGTCCCTGTGGTGGTGCCTGTAGAGCTGAAACGAACCAAGCAAATGGAGTTACCATATTGAGGATAAAAGAAATACATATATTTCAGTCATCATAACATTCAAAGACAAAAGGTGAGCAGAAAATATCCATAAGTATCAAAAACACTAGATTGCTTAGTGCAATGCATATTATCTAAAAGAAAGTATGGTGTAAAACTTGAAGTCTAAGTTCCATATTCAGTTTCGGTGTAAAGAGGAGTTGCTTAATCAACGATTCATAGCATATCTTTATCATATAACATGCATGTTTAAAACAAACTAACTAGTTCAAAGCCCACACTAAAAAGTTCAACTTGACTGTCACGTACTCTTCAAACTGCTGAAAGCTAAAATCAAGCAGAGTATCATCAAAGAATAGTCAACATTGCACAGTTCTATCAAACAGTATCCTATTCCCGTGACTTTTACAAAACTTCAATGAAAAATTTTCACAAACTAATTGTTCTTGCAACGCATATACTGTTGTTAGAAAGACCTAACATTTACTAGCAAGAGTTTTACATATCCTGCTTTATTTGCACGAGCTGTTTCACTAACACAACTCATCTTTTCAAGATGCATGTCAAATAATGAATAACAAAATAATGCTTAAACCCGGGTGGGACACTACCGTTAGATCTACCCATCCGACACAACTGTTAGATCTACACAAACAGTTTGGTAATGTTACCGGTAGAAGTACCATCAACTCGGTAATATTAAGATACCAGTACTAATACCCTATCAGTTTCCACACACACTACTGTCCTGTCTAGTGTGCACTCATGTTGAAAATTCAATAGAAAAGGTAAGCTTGCTATATAAAATCTCTTGATATCGATTCTCCCCCAATGAGCAAAAGGGTTTTTGTAACTTTTGTTTTAATTTGCAACTGTTTAAAAAAAAAAACTCCATTCCAAAGATCATCCCTGCGTTTTATTGATAAAAAGAAATGATACTACAGGAGAGTGCTCCCATAAATTTGGTAATACTGTACATGCACAAGACTCGAGATCAGAGACCAGAGTCACCAGACCATCGCAAATTTCCAAAAGTTGGGCTCGAATCTCAATAAGCGTGCAATCTCTAGGCTCAAAGATGGCTCGCAAGTCGCAGCCAAAAGCAAGAGAGCCCCACCATTCAGATGGCAGCCGCATCTTTTTGCTGTTTGAATGTTGACAAGCTGCAGCCCACTGTTAAAAAGTTAAAATCCCTCTCCCTCCCCACCGTTTTAGCTTATCATCAAAAGAGATTACATCAAAGCATGTGTCAAAAAAATGTCATTTTGTGCTTTAAAGGCCATCCACAACACGTGGACGGTAACCATTGTGACACAGTTTGGCAGTAAGAACAGAAAAGTGTTCAATCCAATACACTTTCTACTGTTCAAGTCTTGGCGCTTTCTGGGTTTCCATTATTTTCTTTCGTTAAAATTTAAATAAACTGGTTAAATCCTAGAGAGAGATTAATTCACCGTTGGTAAAAGACTTAAAGGCTGTTAGATACCAATAATTGCAGCATCTTTTAAGAAAGTGTTAAAGGGCTTCCCACTCATGGCTCTACCAGCTTTCAAATGGCCAAGCATGAGGCAGTCAGGAACATCATCATGCATATATACAATATGACAAAAAGAGTTCACCCAGTGAATAAGATCAAAGTGAGTGATAGATTTAATAACAAATTGTTTAATCTCAAATACAAATTGTTTAATCTCATATACAATATGACAAAAAGAGTTCACCCAGTGAATAAGATCAAAGTGAGTGATAGATTTAATAACAAATTGTTTAATCTCAAATACAATAATTTTTTTTTCATAAACCAATATTTTTCTCTTCAGGAATATAACAACAAAGATGCCCATCCCACCAGAAGAAATGGGTAAGTGTAAAAAATAAAGGCCTTTTAGACAAAGGAATCTTAGCTAAGACAACACCAAAATGGAATGCTAAAACTTTAATTATTATATTCTTCTGAGTCTCTGACCACTTAGTAAATTTTTTAAGCCAGTTCATGCCATTACTGCCTATTTAGGTACCTCAACTTAGTTTAAACTGTATCTATATCAGACTTCGATCCAGGTTCTTTATGATAAATAGTGAATCTGAAATCTATGCAAAAACTCTCCAATAAAACGTGCGGAGATGTGTGGAGTCTAAAGACATGATGTTGAAGACAAACCAACAAAATACCAAATTGTAATTAATAAATTAATGTTACTGTTAACATTGGACGGGTGATGTTATATAGCAATCCAGAGGGAGAAATCGGACCGTCCATAAATTTTTACTTCTCGTGGTAAATTGTTACCAACCAAATATTTAGGGGCAGCCCAGTTTTATAAAAAAAAAAATAAGAGCACCCTCAAACACTATCCTGAAAAGAGTCAGAACTGACACATTCACCACCACATAAAGAACAAATTTTCAAACAAGTAAATCGTCATGTCAAAAGAAAAAAAAAGTCACTAAAATTAAATACTTTTTAAATAAAAAGAGAAAAAAAGGGCAGCTCATTTTCAATCATACCTGGCGCTAGCAGGGTATTGACAGCCATTGGAGCCTGTAAATCAACAAGGACAAGGAGTAAATGCTCAGAAAAAAAATAACTTAATCTTCAGGTAAATGTAAATTAAGAAACCCCAAAAAAGAAAAAAAGCAAAGAGAGAAAGTGGGTTTGGTGGTGAAAGTGAAGGCTTACTGGGATCAGTTGTAGTGATAGCAGCAGTTCCGGAAAAGTCACAAGAGCCTTGAGCTTGACCCTTCTTCTGGAAATAGCTGTTAACGGCGAAACTGCAGTGGGCCTTGACGGTGTTGGGGTTGTAACACGCCCCGGTCGATTTGATAGGGTTACAATCAGCTCCAGCTCCACAAGCATAGTCCAGTGTCTTCTGCAATACAGCGTCGCCTCCACCGTCCTTGCAAACACACCAGTTGGCAGCTATCCAAAAAAGGAAAAAAAAAAAAAAAAACAAATATGCATAAGAAAAACAAAAGAGTAGAGTTTTTCAAAACATGGAGAAGATCTGTAAAATGGGTTTCAAAAAAGAAAACAAAAAAGATAAAAGTTTGATGCTTTACTATGGACAACAGGTATTAGGGAAAAAATATTACAGAAGCAGATCCATGTTCAGAGACAAAAGGTAGAAACCTTAAAAGCAAAAAACAAAAACAGAGAAATGTGAGTTAAAGAGCTCACTAGAATGGCCAGTGATGCCAAGAAGGAGAACTAAAAGCACTAAAACCGCCATGAAATTAGCTAAGTAAGCTAAAAGATAGTTTTGTTGCAGAGGGTGAAAGAGAAAGAGAGAGAGAGACAGAGTCACAGAGAGAGTATTGAAGAGAGTGAGAATGGGAGTATATCTAGACAAAAATAAACATGAAAGAGAGAGAGAATGGATTTAGATGGTGGGATGAAGGTGGCCTGGGCTGGCTCTGCCCTTTGTTTTGATGTCGGTTTGTGAATGGTTTTTTTTTTTTTTTTTTNGAAGAAGATGTGAGTGTAGCATTACTCTACTTACATTACCATGTTTGGTTGTCAAGTAATATAAGGATTCCAGTAATCCTCAAATACCAATATTAATCACTGTTAGTTATATAGGTAATAATTTGATTATCACCATTTTTTTAGGTATTCTAAAATTACTTGGAAAACTTATTTTTGGTTAAAATTTTACCCTTTATTAATAAATTTTTAGGACAATAATATCCTTGTTATCTAAACAAATCGACTAGATCTGACTGATCGTGCGCCGTTCTGGCGACTGCCGATGGTGGTGGCCGACGACCGACAATGGCTTAGGTAAGTGGAGGCGATTTTGTTAAAAATTAAACTTCTATTTAAACTTAGGTGTTTTAGCAAAATCTCAAATATAAGAGGTTAAAAAAATAGTTTAAATAATAATGATAATTATATAATAACAATATTAAAAAGAAGGCAGAACGACTTACACCTACCCAAGGTTTGGAGAAACGACATAGTGATACCCAAAAGGTTTCAAAAAGACAAACAGGTACCTTTCGTTAGGGAAAAGACTAGAATGCCCTTTGAGAAATATTAGTCTATTTTTTTTAATTACTTTTAGTCCCCTTAAGTTTATTAATTCCATCAAATACCCCCAGAAAAAAGTTTAAAAATTAACAAAAACACCCCCACTCACCCATACTTGCCAAATTCTGCCGGCCACCACCGAAAATGGCCGATAGTTCACCGATCTGGCATTTTTCGGCCAAATCCACCACGGATCTGGCCGAAAAAGGCCATATCTAACGTGAGAAGGCCAGATCTGGCCGAAAATTGACGATCAAAGATGTGGCCGTCGTTGACTGTTAACGATGGCCAAGATTTTCCGGCCAGATCGGTGAACTATCAGCTATTTCCAGTGATGGTGTAGACCGTTGTGACAGATTCTGGCTACCACCGGCGATGGCCGTCGGAATCTGGCAATTATGAGTGGGTGGGGGTATTTTTGTTAATTTTTAAACTTTTTTCTGGGGGTATTTGATGAAATTAATAAACTTAAGGGGTCTAAAAGTAATTAAAAAATAGACTAATATTTCTCTATGGGCATTCTAGTCTTTTCTCTACCGAAAGGTACCTGTTTGTCTTTTTGAAACCTTTTGGGTATCACTATGTCGTTTCTCCAAACCTTGGGTAGGTGTAAGTCGTTCTGCCTTCTTTTTAATATTGTTATTATATAATTATCATTATTATTTAAACTATTTTTTTAACCTCTTATATTTGAGATTTTGCTAAAACACCTAAGTTTAAATAGAAGTTTAATTTTTAACAAAATCGCCTCCACTTACCTAAGCCATTGTCGGTCGTCGGCCACCACCATCGGCAGTCGCCAGAACGGCGCACGATCAGTCAGATCTAGTCGATTTGTTTAGATAACAAGGATATTATTGTCCTAAAAATTTATTAATAAAGGGTAAAATTTTAACCAAAAATAAGTTTTCCAAGTAATTTTAGAATACCTAAAAAAATGGTGATAATCAAATTATTACCTATATAACTAACAGTGATTAATATTGGTATTTGAGGATTACTGGAATCCTTATATTACTTGACAACCAAACATGGTAATGTAAGTAGAGTAATGCTACACTCACATCTTCTTCTCACAAACTTCTTCTTCTAACCCCGACGTGACAGCCTGTAATTGGTCAACTACAATATATCAGGTGGGACCAAAGTATGACTCATTACGAGTTGTCATGCTGAGGTTGTGAGAAAAGATTGTGAATATAACATTTTATATGTAAGTACTATAAGATAGACATTACTGGAGTAAGGTAACCCCCCAACTAATCCCACCCGTGGTAGTGTCTTGGGCTCCGTTTGGTTCACAATTTTGTGTTTTTGGGAAAAGTTTTTTGAAAAAAGTTAAAAAAAAGTTGAATTGGGCGGGTATTACGATGTAGGATTTACAAATTAATAAAATACCCCCTATGTTTGTTTTTTTACAAAACACCCCTTATAATAAAACATTAAAAGTTAACAAAAACACCCCCAATCCACCCTCAAATACGGACAGCCGGCCACCACCGCCGGAGGGTGGCCGGAGTCGCCGTAACAAAAACATTAAAAATATTTAGGGGTATTTAATTGAATTAACAAATTTAGGGGGTTTAAAAAATGTTGAATAAAGTTGAATAATATTGTGAGTTTTTGGGTATTTTACTGTTTAACTTTTTTGGGAATACTAAAAGTAGTATTCCCAAAATCCAACCAAACGAAGCCTTGATATCTTACAGTATAATAAAAAATAAAAAATACTCTTACACTTCTTAAGAGGCGAAAAATCCATCGGATGTTAAATAATTATAAGCTCACGGATGACATCATAATATTCCCAAAAGGAAGAATATCATGTGGTAGCATAAAAAGAGACCCTACCATGATGCTAATTCAATGATATTATCAAGCAATATCTATCATGATCCTCTTGATCGATTTGATGTTCATAACTTTTTTAATATCAATATCCTAAAATGTTTGATGAAATATGAATTTAATAGTGTAATAATATTAGGAAATATATTTACGCTAAAATTATAAGATATACCAACTAGGTATAGAACAGATGAGTGGTCATGAGAGTGATTGTGTTTAAAGCAAAAACTTCCAACAAAACATTAGTGAAATACTAAAAATAGATGTTTGATTCTGCCTTAAATAACAGTCTCTACTATTGTAGCCTTAATTTGTCTCATAAATTCAACAATCCTGGTTGGCACTGGACCCCCCTGCTGCTCTGTTTCTTCATTTGTTTTGACTGTTCTGTCATCTTTGGAGCTACCAATATGTAAAAGAGTTTAATAACAAATTTTTTCTCTTAAATATTAAAAACAATAATTTACCCACTTTAATTATTTTTAATTAGAATCTTTATTGCTAATTGACGAATATATTTTACATTTAATTTGTTATATTAATTATTGAAACGTTAAGGAAATACTAACAATGTTGTATAATTTATTTATTTTTTTCTAATGATCAGGATACTCAAGCCGTTAACACAAACTTTAACCAATCCCTTGAGATTTTGGAATTACCGATATAAAAATAGCTCTCGCAACTATTTTTATTAACACTCGAGAAGGGAAGCATAGGATAAATTGTTATTTATTATAATTGAGAGAAAAGGTTGTTATAATAATCTGGTTTCTTCATACGGTGATAAAATCATAATGTTAAACATTTATTAAAAATCTACAAATTGTAAAAGTTTATATAAAATTTTTAAATACGCCAAGATTTTTTCATGGGTTAAAAACAATAAAATAACATAATTCTCCTACGGTTAATTTTTTGATGATAAAATAAACAGTATAAATGTAATTTAAATCATGACATTTAAAATTCTAACGGCACATTAATAACTAACGAATGTTAGGAGAATTTTATTTTTGAAATATCATGAGGGTTAAGATAAAAAGCCATTTTTAATATAAAATTGAGTCATATTGAAAATTAGAAGGTTTTTTGAGTCAAACTGTTGATGATTTATTTCTGGTTAAATTGTACAACAATTTGACCCCGATTCAACTCAACATGAACATGCCACCAGATTTTGAGATGATATATATAACAGTATGAAAAGCAAGTTGAGTTGCGCCACGTCATCTGGTTGACATAGAAAGTTTTGTAAATTACAACTTCAGTCCCTATCTCCCTCTCTCTTTATCTCTTATGCCTCACTTATTTTGACACATGATACATATTTTATTGGGAGATTACTAGAATTATATTTATTCTTTAATTCTATTATTATATTTTGTAAAGAGAGAGAGAGATTGGTCTATTGGTTTCACATAGTGACATTAAATAAAGAGTGAACTACTTTTTCCCACTCAAATAATGGTATAATGACACTTTCTCACCCATGAACTTTTAAAGTATCACTTTATTACTTAAATTTATATTATGTTTTCAATTCTGACTTCGTTGCAACCCCACATTATCACTATTCTCTTTTCCGATCATCACTCACCATAACCTCTCAAACCCTACTCCCATCAACCCTACCAATCGCGGGTAATTGAATGATTAGGGTTTGCGTCATCGCCCTTCCCAAGTCAAATTTCGACCAATCACAACCATCAAAAGACTTATCAGCCTCCCCTTTTCAAAAACTCTAACAATCTAGACTGAGTTTGCTATTTGTTTGTTGTCGAAATATAAATTTGGATAATAAAATGATATTTTAAAAGTATGTGGATGGGAAAGCGTCATTAAGCCATTATTTGGGTGGGAAAAAGCACTGTTTTGAAACTCGGCTCCGCTCGGCTGGTTTAGCTGGTTTAATTGGGAATCGGGAGCTTCACCAGATTGGGTTAACATTTTCTCTATTAACCCAAAACTCTAGAATTTGGGATGATGATCGGCGAGCAATTGAAGGTCGAAATGTTGGGGCTTTTGAAAAGAAAGTGTCGGTGAGTGCAATGGTGGCGACGGAGCTGATTTCCGGTGAGTGAATTGACTGAAAATCGAAAAGAAAAATGGTGGCGGAAACAACTAGCTTTTGTCAATGATTAGCGAGGCTAATGGGAGTGGGATGAGGTGGGTTTTCGTTGGGGGGAAAAGGGTAGTATTTTCGAGGTGATGGGAAGGGTTGTTGATGCCGTGTCGGTGAGATTTGGTCTAGAATGCCGATTTCGGCTAGATCTTGGGTTGATTTTATGAGGAATGGGCTTAAGGAACGATTGAGATTGCATCTGGGGTGTCGCCGCCACCAACCAGTTGTCGACCGATTTGTATTTGGGGTGTGCTTTCTAAATTTCAAACCTGTAGCGACTTAACTGTAATTTTTAAGAGTGTATTTGCTGAATTTTAAAATTTGTCACCCGATTTGATCGGCTGGTCAAATCGGGACTTGACAACTTTATTGGGTTTTACGTCGGGTTGGTTATTAAAACATTGGAAAAAAAGTCATTAAC